GTCCAGCGCCTTAACTGCCACACCGCTAGATTTTGCCTTTCGTAGCATCTTCCCTCCTTCTTGCTCTTGGCAAGCCCCTAGCTCTTGCACAACGCAGGATTGTGTAAAAGAATGGCTGTCAGAGTAGAAATGAAGGTTTTCTTTTTTCAAAGCATGTCGTGACCCCACGTTCAAAGCTGGAGCCCAGGAAGACAAAAGGGAGTCCCCCCCCATTATTATCCTAATTGACTGCTTTATTAGCTGCTGCCAATGGGTGGAGGTGACAGCTCCTCTGCCCTTCATCTAATTAATGCAGCTAGGTGCAGGGAGAGGCGATGGCTCCTGACCCAATGGTTCAGAAAAAGCCTTTGGGAATCGTGGAAGAAAGCCCAGTATCATGATCCTGCAGCTTTATAGAACAGCTTTTTCTAGTTTGGTGAGCAGAAGGTAAAACCCACTTTCATCTTTCTGCGGCTATCCTGAAGAAACCCAGTGGAAACAGAGCAGTCCTACAAGTAATAATCCTGGACTTACGGCAAGAAAAGATTATTTGCCAATGGACAAGATGGAGACTAGACTAGACTAGACTAGACAAGGAATAGAACAGAAAAGAATAGAATAGAATATGGAAGAGAAGAGAAGAGAAGAGAAGAGAAGAGAAGAGAAGAGAAGAGAAGAGAAGAAGATGGAACAGAATTAGAACAGAACAGAACAGAATAGAATATGGAAGAGAAGAGAAGAGAAGAGATAGAACAGAATTAGAACAGTACAGAAAAGAATAGAATAGAATATGGAAGAGAAGAGAAGAGAAGAGAAGAGAAGAGAAGAGAAGAGAAGAGAAGAGAGGAGAGGAGAGAAGAGAAGATGGAACAGAATTAGAACAGAACAGAATAGAATATGGAAAGAAGAGAAGAGAAGAGAAGAAGATGGAACAGAATTAGAACAGAATAGAATAGAATATGGAAGAGAGGAGAGGAGAGGAGAGAAGAGAAGAAGATGGAACAGAATTAGAACAGAACAGAATAGAATAGAATATGGAAGAGAAGAGAGGAGAGAGAAGAGAAGAGAAGAGAAGATGGAACAGAATTAGAACAGAACAGAATAGAACAGAACAGAAAATGGAAGAGAAGAGGAGAGAGGAGAGGAGAAGATGGAACAGAATTAGAACAGAATAGAATAGAATATGGAAGAGAAGAGAAGAGAAGAGAAGAGAAGAGAAGAGAAGAGAAGAGAAGAGAAAAGATAGAACAGAATTAGAACAGTACAGAAAAGAATAGAATAGAATATAGAAGAAAAGAGAAGAGAAGAGAAAAGAGAAGAGAAGATGGAACAGAATTAGAACAGAACAGAATAGAATAGAACAGAATAGAATAGAATATGGAGGAGAGGAGAGGAGAGGAGAGGAGAGGAGAGGAGAGAAGAGAAGAGAAGATGGAACAGAATTAGAACAGAACAGAATAGAATAGAATATGGAAGAGAAGAGAGGAGAGAGAAGAGAAGAGAAGAGAGAAGAGAAGATGGAACAGAATTAGAACAGAACAGAATAGAATAGAATATGGAAGAGAAGAGAAGAGAAGAGAGGAGAGAGAAGAGAAGAGAAGAGAAGAGAAGAGAAGAGAAGAGAAGAGAAGAGAAGAGAAGAGAAGATGGAACAGAATTAGAACAGAACAGAATAGAATAGAATTTGGCCAAATGTGATTAGACATACAAGCAATTTGTCTCCGGTGCATAGAAGCTCTCAGTGTCCATGCAAAGCAACAGAATTACGATAATCATAATCATAATAATATCAACAAGGGGAGGTAGTTAAGAAGATAATAAAAAGGATAATGATAATAGCACAGCCCTGCTACAAGGGTAAGTATATGTAGACATTAGACGCTGTTGTTGGAATGGGGTGTCCAGCAATGTTGATGGCACGAGGCAAAAAGCTGTTTTTCTGTCTAGAATGTTTTGGCATGCCATGCCCTGCATCAGCGTCCCGAGAGGACGAGTTGAAACAGTCTGTGTCCAGGATGGGAGGGGTCTGCATCTATTTTCTCAGCTCTCCCTCTGACCCATGAAGTCTACAGATCCTCAGTGGAAGGCAAGGCTGGATGCAATTGTTTTTTTCCGCAGTCCTAACTATTTGATGAAATCTGCACCTCTCCTGTTTGATGGCTGTGCCAAACCAGACAGCTTAGAGAAGTACAAATGACGGGTTCAACAATGCTGGCTGGGGAATTCTGGGAATTCTTTCAGGGGTCCAGCTTTGTCCTTAGGCCTATGGGGGTCTCAAAGAGACTGATGATATATTGGCTGGTTCCATTGCTGATCAAATCTCTGTTTGGTTTTGGGGGGGGTTGTTTTTTAATTTTAATTGACCATGCTTTACACATTTATTGCTTTTATGCTTTTATTTCTTTTTTTTTCTGTATGCCATGAGGGGGATCACTTCTTATCGGAAAGACAGCCTTATAAATGGGATGGATGGGTGAGTGGGTGGATAGATAGATAGGTACATAGGTACATAGGTACATAGATAGATAATAGGAAAAAGATTAATAGTTGGAGAGATGATTGGATAGATAGATAAAGAAAGAGAGAGAATTAAAAAGAGATAGAGATAGATGATTGGATAGAGAGATAGAGAATAAGAGATAGATAGATAGATAGATAGATAGATAGATAGATAGATAGATAAAAATTAATAGTTGGATAGATGATTGTATAGATAAAGAAAGAGAGAATTAAAAAGAGATAGAGATAGATGATTAGATAGATAGATAGATAGATAGATAGATAGATAGATAGATAGATAGATAGATAGATAGATAAAATGATTAATAGGATAGAAGATTGGATAGATAGATAAAGAAAGCGAGAATTAGATAGAGATAGATGATTGGAGAGAGAGAGAGAGAGAGAATAAAATGATTAGTTGGATAGATGATTGGATAGATAAAGAAAGAATTAAAGAGAGATAAAGATAGATAGATAGACAGATAGACAGACAGAGACAGACAGACAGACAGAGAGACAGATAGATATAATAGCCCTGGACTCTTAATAAAACAGAAGAAAACCGGCATTAAATGGATAACTCTTGGCCTCTTTTCCTGAGAAACAGATTGCCTTTTTATCTACTTATCAAAAAAAGCTCATTATAGCATTCTCAGCGGTGAGATTCAGCAGCATGAAACAGACAGCTTGTTCATGTAATGGACAATTTGACTTAAACTTTAGGGAGTATCTTTGTTTTTTTTCCTTGCTGGTCTATTTTTGCTGTTTCCTTTTCATAATTTATTTATGGAATTTTATAATCTGGGTTTGAAGCCATCTGGCCGATTTTTCTACGAATAACTAGACAGATGTATGTAGTGTGTGTGTGTGTGTGTGTGTGTGTGTGTGTGTATGAGACAGAGAGAGAGAGAAAGAGAAAGAAAGAGATGTGATACAGATAAATGTTGGATGGATAGATAATAAAGGACTGAATAGATTGATAATGCATGGAAAGATATTGGTAGGGGATATAAAGATAAATGATAGAGAGACAGAGACAAATACAAAGACAGGTGTGTGTGTGTGTGTGTGTGTGTGTGTGTGTGTGGAGATATATATGTGTTAAATGTGGCTGGAGACATTTGGCAAGCTTAGCGTAATTTTCAACGACAAAGAGCCCTGGAAAGAGACAACATGCTTTCCATCACAAGACAAAAAGACCCGTGCCTGGGTGGTTAGAGGACACACAGAAGCGTAAGATGCCTTCAAGAGAGTAAAAGAATTTAAATGGAAATGCACTGGGAGGGAGAGAAGAGAGAAGAAAATGACTAAGATGTGAATTAGGTAAACAGAATCATCTTTAAATAGGTAGGTCTGTCATAGTTTTGCATGCAGTGTTAAGAACTGAGAATGGTGCATGGAGGCACTTAATTGGAAGCTTAAATTATTTTAATCGGTATAGAGATTCCCGCTAACATTTTGGAAAATGAGATTATAAATGTCTATGAAATCATTGCTAGAGTGAAAACCATTATCTTCCAGCACCTCTTCAGACTCTTTAAAATTGCCCTGGGTAGACATCAAACACTTTTCACATAAAAGTTATGGAAAATACTTTGGCAAAACGTTAAGGGACAATGAATAATGATTTTAATTCAAGCAATTCGGGCACTGCAGCAGGTCAACAGGAGTCAACGTCAAGCAGAGACAGGCTTTTAAAAAGGTTTTTAAAAAGTCCTTTTGTTTTTGTTTTGTTTTTTAATTTAATCCAATTTATCCTGTTTCTGGGCAGCCAAGCAAGGAAAGAAAGAAAGAAAGAAAGAAAGAAAGAAAGAAAGAAAGAAAGAAAGAAAGAAAGAAAGAAAGAAAGAAGAAGGAAGGGAGGGAGGGAAGAAAGGAAATATAAAGGAAGGAAGGATGGAAGAAGGAAAGAAGGATGGAAGAAGAAAAGGAGGATGGAAGAAGGAAGGAAGGAAGGAAGGAAGGAAGGAAGGAAGGAAGGAAGGAAGGAAGGAAGGAAGAGGGAGGGAAGAAAGGAAATATAAAGGAAAGAAGGTGGAAAGAAAGAAATAGGAAGGAAGGATGGAAGAAGGATGGAAGAAGGAAGGATGGAAGGAAAGAAGGAAGGGAGGAAGGAAGGAAGGGGGAGGGAGGGAGGGAAGAAAGGAAATATAAAGGAAGGAAGGATGGATGGAAGAAGGAAGGAAGGAAGGAAGGAAGGAAGAGGAAGGGAAGAAAGGAAATATAAAGGAAGGAAAGAAGGATGGAAGAAGAAAAGGAGGATGGAAGAAGGAAGGAAGGATGGAAGGAAGGAAGGAAGAGGGAGGGAAGAAAGGAAATATAAAGGAAGGAAGGTGGAAAGAAAGAAATAGGAAGGAAGGATGAAAGAAGGATGGAAGAAGGAAGGATGGAAGGAAAGAAGGAAATATAAAGGAATAAAAGAAATATGAAGGAAGGAAGGAAGGAAGGAAGGAAGGAAGGAAGGAAGGAAGGAAGGAAGGAAGGAAGGAAGGAAGGAAGGAAGGAAGGGGCATGTTTTGTATACCCAAACACCCACTAAGAAAAGGCGCCCGAGAGCTGGATAAAACACGCAGCCAGAAATGGCTCCTGTCCTCAGGATCTCATCGCTTTCTGCCCCCCCCCCACAGGTGGATCCCGATGACGTCTTAACGAAGGAGGAGCAGATCCTGCTCCTGCTGAAAGCCAAGGCCAAGTGTGAAAGACACCTGCAAGCGAGGGGGACCCAGGTGCCAGGTGAGTGTGCACCTTGCTGTATCGCCCTGTGGGGGTGCAAGTTCAAATGCTTTAGTTTTTCTGGGATTTTCATTTTTTTGCACAAAAAAAGATGAGTGTGATCTGTGGTTTGGATGAGGAGCCAGGATAGATTATTATAGCAATGTGGCCCAACCTTGGCTAATTGAAGGTGAGTGGACTTCAACTCCCAGAATTCTCAGCCACAGCCGTGCTGGCTGTGGGACTCTGGGAGCTGAAGTCCGTAGACCCCAAAATTGCCAACGTTGGAAAATCCTGGATGATAGAAACGAGGAGGAGGAGGAGGAGGGAGAGATCTGTGGAGCTTGGTGGCTTTTTTGAGGACGTTTCATGACCCTACTAGGGAATGTCACCAGTGCACTATTTTCCTTCCTTCCTTTCTCTCTCCCTCTCTCCCTCCCTCTTGTCCTTCCTTCCTTCCTCCCTCTTGTTCTGCCTTCCTTTTTTCCTTCCTTTTTTCCTTCCTTCCTTTCTTTTCTTCTTTCTCTTTCCATCCTTTCTTCCTCCCTCTTGTCCTTCCTTCCTTCTTCCCTCCCTCTTGTTCTGCCTTCCTTTTTTCCTTCCTTCCTTCCTTTTCTTTCTTTTCTTCTTTCTCTCTCCATTCCTTCCTCCCTCTTGTCCTTCCTTTCTTCCTTCCTCCTGCCTTCTTTTTTTCCTTCCTTTTTTCCTTCTTTCCTTTCTTTTCTTTTCTTTATCTCCATCCCTTTCCCCCTCCCTCTTGTCCTTCCTTCCTCCCTCCCTCCCTCCCTCTTGTCCTTCCTTCCTTCCTTCCTTCTTTCCTTTTTTCTTTCTTCCTTCCTTCCTTCCTTTTTTCTTTCTTCCTTCCTTCTTTTCTTTCTTTCTTTCTTTCTTCCTTCCTCCCTCTTTCCCTTCCTCCCTTCCTCCCTCCCTCTTGTCCTTCCTTCCTTCCTTCCTTTTTTCTTCCTTCCTTCCTTCCTTCCTTCCTTTTTTCTTTCTTTCTTTCTTTCTTTCTTTCTTTCTTTCTTTCTTTCTTTCTTTCTTCCTTCCTTCCTTCCTCCCTCTTTCCCTTCCTCCCTCCCTCCCTCCCTCCCTCCCTCTTTCCCCACAAACAACCCAACCAACCAAAAGCCACATTCTTAGATTTATAAGCCTTCCTTCGCCTTGTGACTCCAAAGGTTTGTGTGTAAAACAAGCCTTCCAGGTAATTGCTTCTCAAATAATCCCCTTCCTTCTTCCGCCTTTGAGTGGGCCCGTCCGTTTTTCAGCCTTCCATCTTCTCGTTTCTCTTCATCCATTCCTATCACTTAGCAGAATCCTTGTTTAGTGACTGAAGTTATAGCAGCACTGAAAAAAGTGGCTTAGGACCGTTTTTCACACTTAATGACCGTTCCATCATCCCCACAATCACGTGATCAAAGTCCAGATGCTGGGCAACTGACTCACATTTATGACGGTCGCAGCGTCCCAGGGCCATGTGATCCCCTTTGGCGACCGTCTGATAGGCAGAATTAATGGGGGAAGCCCAGATTCACTTAACAACTGTGTGATTAATTTAACAACTGCAGTGATTCCCTTAACAACAACTGTGGCAAAACAGTCAATTGTTCGGTGAGCTGCATTCCCGTTTTAAAACTTTGTTGTTAAGTGAATCACTGCGGTTGTTAAGTTAGACACCTGGGTTGTTAAGTGAATCGGGCTTCCCCCATTTGACTTTGCTTGTCACAAAAAGGGGAATCATGTGACCCTGGGACACTGCAACTGTCATGAATACAAGTCAGTTTCCAAACAACTGCAGCTGTCGTGTGGAAATTGGTCCTAAGTCCTTTCGTTCAGTGCGGTTGCAACTTCACACGGTCACTAAATGAACTGTTGTAAGTCGAGGACTACCCATGATGACGCAGCCACCAGAGGAATCTTGTCTGCCACATCAGTTGGTGATTCGGCATGGCGTTATCCGGCGTTGTGTTGGCCACATGTTCCTCCCCCCCCCCTTCCTCCTCTCCCCCCCTACCCCCCCCCCAGCAAAGAGGTTGCTGATTTTAGTTTTATTTTCTTTGCTATTTTGGGAGCTTCTTAATTGGTGCCAGATGAGTCGAGTGGAGAAAGAGCGAGAGGCAGGGCCGGATTAGTGAGTGTGCAGAGCGTGCGAGTGGGTGGGGGATGCGTGTGCAAGACACCCCTCAGTCCTGCTGGATTCTGCTGCAGCTGTTCTTGCTTCAAACAATAGAACATATTTTAAGCAAGAATTTCCCCCTTTAATGCCTCTTGGAAGTTTGGGGTTTCTGTCTTGCTAGACAAACATCCCTGGAAAAACAAACATGGTTGGTTCAAACCACGTGAAATTTTGCTTTTCGGCTGATTTTCCCACGCTCTGAATCCCCCCCCCCCAATCTGAAGAAAATCCTTGGGGACTTCTCCTTAGATCATTTTATTGGCCTGCAATCTTCAGATGCAAGGGGTTCTTTTTTCTAGCTCTTTCTGCTCTACAATACAATGCAATGCGATGCAATGCCATGCCATGCAATGCAATACAGTACAGTATAATACAATACAATAATAAAATACAGTGCATTACAGTACAATACAGCACTATTCAATGCAATAATAAAGTACAATGCAACACAATAAAATATAATTGATATAATATAATATAATACAATACAGTAAAATACAGTATAATACAATACAATATAATACAACACAATATAGGATAGGATAGGATAGGATAGGATAGGATAGGATAGGATAGGATAGGATAGGATAGGATAGGATAGGATAGGATAGGACAACACAATGCAATGCAATACAGTACAGTGCAGTACAACACAACACAGTACAACAATATAATATAAAACAATACAGTACAGTACAACACAGCACAACACAAAATAATATAATACAGTACAGTACAATGCAACACAATTACAACACAATATAACAGTACAATACAGCACAATATAACACTATTCATTACAATACATAAAGTACAATGTAACACAATAAAATATAAATAATATAATATAATATAGTACAATATAGTAAAATACAGTATAATACAGTACAATATAATACAACACAATATAGGATAGGATAGGATAGGACAGGACAGGACAACACAACACAATACAATGCAGTATAGTACAATGCAGTACAACACAACACAATATAATATAATATAATATAATACAATACAGTGCAGTGCAGTACAACACAGCACAGCACAATGTAACACAATACAGTACAATGCAACACAACACAACACAATACAATATATAGATACAGAATATAATAAGGATAAGAAAATGATCTGCCAGATGACTAAATACTCAGTACTTGCCCTTGTGCACTTTGGAACGAAGACACACAACAAAATCACAGGAGGGCAGGCCAGACCACAAAGCCAAAACTTATTCCAGAGTAAAACAATGTGAAAAAAATGGCACAGATTTCAACAAATTGTATTGACTCAAAGGTCTTCCTTTGACTCCAAAGTTATCCATGTTCCAAAGATGGCACAGGTTCTCCTGCTTGAGCAGGGGGCTGGACTAGAAGACCTTCAAGTTCCCTTCCAGCTCTGTTCTATTCTATAAATTTAAAGAAGACATCAGAAGTCTACTTTTATGACGGCTAAACGTATGTTATCAGCCTATCTTTCTCTAGCAATCATGGTTTGTTTAGAACGCACCACCCTGCAAAATTTGCAGAAAAATGTCTTGCACGGAAAGTCTGTACGGGTGTGGGTTGTGAGTTAAAAAAGTTAAGATGGGGTCCATGCCACTAAAGCCCATCCATTTTAAATAAATATCACTGGGGTAATGCAGATAAAAAGGAAGCAAGATTGGGTTGCGCAATCAAGGACGCCGTCTTGATTTTTTTTTTACCTCTGTGTGTGTGTGTATACACACACACACACACACACACACACACACACAAAGCAATCTGTTCTGCATTTCGCTCCAGTCTAAGAGCATTTTTTGCAGGCAGACGTCACTACTGTGATAACTGTAAATTCAAAATTTTGTGGCTGACAAAGAGTTAAATGGAGACTAGTATAGCTATTTCAAGTTCTTTAGCTCTCATCAGCTAGAGGGATAAGATTAGCTGATGAGAGCTAAAGAGCTTGAAATAGCTATACTAGTTTCCCTTTAATTCTTTGTCAGCCACAAAATTTTGAATATATATATATATATATATATATATATATATATATATATATATATATATATACACATACATACATACATACATACACACACACACACACACACACATACAGTCATACAAGCAGTCCTCAACTTACAACAGTTCATTTAGTGACCATTTGAAGTTAGAACAGCACTGAAAATAGGGATTTGTTATCATTTTTCACACTTATGACCATTGCAGCATCCCTGTGATCAAAATTTCGATAACTGACTCATATTTATGACGGTGTCCCGGGGTCCCTTTTGCGACCTTGGGACCAGCAAAGTCAATGGGGGAAGCTGGATTCACTTAACAACCGTGATACTAACTTATCAGCTGCAATGATTCACTTCACAACTGCGGCAAGGAAGGTCGTAAAATGGGGCAAAACTCACTTAAGAGATGTCTTGCTTAGCAACAGAAATTTTGGGTTCAATTGTCGCCGTAAGTCAAGGACTGTCTGTATTATATCAAATATGCTTGGCTGTATCCTCGACATGCAAGCATTCAAAATTATAATAACATTGGAAAAAGAGACTTACAGCTAGTCCTCACACTTATGACCATCACAGCATGAAGGGATCGAAATTCAGGCGCTCGACAGCTGGCGTGTTTTGATGCTGGTTACAGCACCTCAGGATCCCGTGATCCCTATTTGCAGAATTAACAACTGGAGTAATTTGCTTAATAATGGTGGCAGAAAAGAACGTAAAATTGAATGCCACTCACTTTGCAACTGCCTTGCTTAGCGACGGAAATTCTGCTTTCCATTGTGGTCGTAAGTCGACCTGTGTAAAAGACAAAAGGAGGTTTTTATTTCTCCAATCGTAATTCAT